CGCAAGTCCGATTGCTTTGATATTACATATATAGGTACTACATGTGGACCACTCTCAGATTTGTTCATTTTGTGATGATATCTTCAATTCTCTAATTTTGGTGAATATTTTTGTAATTTTTGGTAAAAAGTGATATTTTCGACTTCTTGTTAAAAACCAATAGTTCAATTGCTTTGATATTACATATATAGATACTACATGTAGACCTTTCTCAGATTTGTTCATTTCGTGATGATATCTTCGATTCTCTAATTATGGTGAATATTTTTGTCATTTTTGGTAGAAAGTGATATTTTTGACTTCTTGTTAAAAACTGTAAGTCCGATTGCTTTGATACTACCGGTATACATATTGTTCATTTTCTAATGATGTCTTCAGTTCTTTAATTGAAATGTGCATTGCTAACAGCGGAGCTATCTCAGCCGATAGGCTGCTTGTTTTTTTTTTTGGCCTGATGGACATTTCACTGTATGTATTTGAAATGTGTGACTGATGTTGCGCGTGTGGATTTTAATGTTCGAGCACGACAATCACCTTGTATCCTGTTTTATACATCCGATCAAGATTATTTATTCTTACATTCAAATGCTTTCTTTTTGTTTACATTGGATGCAGAGGTGCTACATCGTGTAATGAAAATAGAATCTCGTCTGTACACAAATGTTTGTACATCACAAAATGTTTTTCTTTGCTACTTCAGGCAAATATTACTACAAGCAGGAGATGTGTATATCAATAATATTTATGTGCTCAGAAAGTACTAGATCGCATCGACCTCTTGCTGCTATGCATCAGAACGGTGATTGTTTTGACCAATGCAATCCTGTGCTGCCTAAGTTTATACTTTGTGGTATCCTCATGATAACCTCATGATTATTTCATCGACAACAAATTATAATTAGCTCATGTTGATTCTCTCTCCTTTTCCTCTCATTGGTCAATTTGCTGTATGATTTAGAGTTTTGACGATGAAGAACCAATGGTAGTGGCGGAAGGGACAGCAGTATGGGAGAATCTTGGCGAGGGAATGTTGACCAAAGTGACATTACCAGACAACCAGAGTACGGTAGTGAAAATAAGACCTGGCATGCTGGTACAAGATGTCTTATACACATGTTGTATTGTGAGTAGCAAGTATTATGAATGAGTTAAACTTTGAACTTTAACCCTTTGAAAACCAAGGTCAAATCTTGCCTCCGTTCGCAAAATAAACCCACATCATTGTTTCCATATTTTTTTCAACAAAAAAATCGTCAAGGCAAAGAGAAATTATGTTTATATAGCAAATAATCTTTATGGAGTGAATAATAAATGTTTATCATATGCTTTATAGGTGTAATTACCACGGCATGAGCTTTAACACATGACGTCATTTAGAATGACATGTTTTGTTTTGATTAATGAAAATCGGGCGTGCTTGACCGGGCATGAGTATAATATATGGTAATAATATTTTGTAAAAACAATCAAATTGATGATTTATATTTCTTATTTGTAGAAACGTCAAATGGATTACCTGTATTATTACATATCGCTGAGAAAATCTAGCGGTGATGGTACGAAGCAGTACGTACCAGACAGATATGTGTTTATGGATAAACAGGTGAGTCCTTTGTACATGTATGTGAGGAGGCCATGTATTACGGTTGATTCTCAGGGATGGAGCTACGTCACAGAGCGTTCTATGTTGCTAAGACACCAATATACCATGTGTACTTATATGTCTAAAGTGATAAACTTCAAATGATGTAACCCTGAGCATTATCTAATTTGTCAAGGATGACTGAAAAATTTCTTGTTGGAGATGTTCAGATTTCCAATGATGTCATTACTGCAATGCATTATGGGATATTTGTATAAGTAATGAATTTTCAGTAGGGTTTGTGCCGAGTACACACCCTCTCTAAGTCCCCCTTCCCCCCATACTTATTTCCTATTCCTGGTTCCATTTGATGTAGATGGTAAAACTATCATGTGACATTCTCAAACCATCATTTTCATTTATGTTTTGTTCGGTATTCTATATTTTGTTACTATTTTGCATAGTTGTATCTGCATCATTGAGACTGCTTTCTGACCAATAGCAAAGCAGCAGCTCATCTCAATAGATTTAATAGTTTGTGTGCCTTGGTCTGAACCAGTCAGATGACATATACTTCTTAGAATCATTTAGCAAGCCACAAAAAATAAAGCTAGGGTGAAAAGTATTTTGTAACATAAAATATCTTGCAGACCCTCACATCTTGTCGGGCTACACAATGTGGAAAGTTAGGTATTAAAACTGTCTGCTATTGTTTATTGGTTTGCTGGCCGGGGTTGATTTGGACAGAGAATGGAAATCCAAGCCACTGGGGTCATGTCATAAAATGTTTACTTGACAAGTTCAGTGAGTGAAAGGCATTTTTGGGAAATGTTCATGGGAAATGTGTTTCTTGAAAAAAGTGTTTAATTTCAGATCCTATTGATGTTCTAATGGTTGTTAAAACAACATCAGATATTCCTTACTTTCAAATCGGTTCATTCAGAAAAGTAGACATTTGTGAGTAATTGGAAGTGAACTTGAGCATCTCCTAATTCAGAATCTCAACATTTTCCAGAACATTGAATTGCTGAGGCTGCATCAAGTAGGGGGAATGTAACAGAACATTGAATTGCTGAGGCTGCATCAAGTAGGGGGAATGTAACAGAACATTGAATTGCTGAGGCTGCATCAAGTAGGGGGAATGTAACAGAACATTGAATTGCTGAGGCTGCATCAAGTAGGGGGAATGTAACAGAACATTGAATTGCTGAGGCTGCATCAAGTAGGGGAATGTAACAGAACATTGAATTGCTGAGGCTGCATCAAGTAGGGGAATGTAACAGAACATTGAATTGCTGAGGCTGCATCAAGTAGGGGGAATGTAACAGAACATTGAATTGCTGAGGCTGCATCAAGTAGGGGCAATGTAACAGAACATTGAATTGCTGAGGCTGCATCAAGTAGGGGGAATGTAACAGAACATTGAATTGCTGAGGCTGCATCAAGTAGGGGATGTAA